AGCAATCAGCCTGATACTCACCTAACGTCTTATTTACATCTCAGAGAGGTTTCTGTGAGTACACAATATAACCTTACCCTGCAACATGGCTTTTAAATTGCTTCAATTCTCACATCCCACAAGATAGTTCTCCTACTTAATCTTTACAGACACTAGTTTAGGTCTCTTCAAAACAGGAATATAGATTTCTCATTCTCTAGCATTTTCTCTTCATTTCTTCACTGACTTCCCACTAAATAAGCTTTTTTTTTTTTTTTTTCCCCTCCTTAAACCTACTGGGAAGGCTTGCAATGCCCTGCTCTTCTCTGTGCACTACCTTAGTTAACCTTTGTCCTCCCTGAATAAGATTGTTAAGAGCTTGACAGTGTATACTTCAAAGTTGTTTATAATATTACACCAAAACTATGTAAATCATCTTAACATTTTCTTTTTGACACTCCATAAAGCAAGTAATTTTGCTTTACAGGAAATCTGGTTTTGAGATCTCCAGATATAAAAGTACAAGTTCCACTAGCTTTAGGGGTGTCTCCCTTCCAGTAGGAACACAAGAGAGGAATTTGTCTATGTTCCAAATATGGAAAAAAAAGTACTTGGTGACAAGCAGGAAGTCACAGAACAAAATTGACACAGGAATGCTAAAGGAAGCCATTGTACCATTTCTAACTGATGTATTTTTAAGGTCTGACTGAACATGGACAGCCTCTTTTAATTTAACAATATTATACACATCTCTCAAACCTGAAGTAACAACAATGAAAATGCTAAGTCAAACACAGAACTTGTATACCAGCAGAAGCGTGATCTAATGACCAAGTTCAACCTGTTTATAGCCTTAGTGCACACCTGTGCCTATCAGAAGGAAGCACTCGCCTGAATTCCCTCCTAAGATGAAGTTCCTTCTGACCGAGACAGTTTCAACAGCCAAGAGAATGTGACTGTGCCTTCCTGAGTTATTGCACTATAAGGAAAACAAGTTAACACATCCTACAGAAGATCAGCAGAACATTCTCCCCCAATGAAACAAGGTATCTTTTTACAGAATCATAGAATGGTTTTGAATGGACCCAAAAATCAAGTAGGTTTAACCCCCACCACCATGGGCAGGAACACCTACGACAGTTCTGGAAGAGTGACTTTTCTGCAAGGCTGTCAGGTGTGTGACTCTCATTACTTGGTGGGGGAGGGAAAAGAGGGAGAGTGACAAACAATCTGATAAGCTTTCCTATTCAACATGCAAAGACCCACACATCTGCAACAATGAGACTTCCACAGCAGCTGCTTCTAGAGCAGAAAGCAGTATCATCCTTCAATGCACCCACGACAAAGCATATTATATTCTATACTCTTCCTTAGGCAGATGGGATCATAACTTCTGAAAAACAGCAATAGTTAAAGAGTGTTAACTTCAAAACTTGAAATTTTGAAACTGTCAGTCTTGACAGCCATACAATCACCGGCCAGATCTAATTACAAGTGACATACTTTTAGGATGTGAGACCATCACCACTTGATCTAACACTCAACAACAGAAAAATATTAATCCTTCTGTTTACCTAAGAACGAGCATGCCGAGTTGTGAGGACTAATCAGAGAGAAAGGAAAATCAAGTCATAGCAATCAAATGCACTTTAACACACTGGAAACACGACTCTTCCTGCAGGTTTAAGACAGGGACAAGGCAACAAACTCCTGCTGTGTATTTGTACGGCTGCACGCCTGTCCTGCACAGCCTCCCCCTGCCTCCCTGCACAGCCAGCTGGTAAGGGAAACATGCTGACAAGGCACAGGGAGCTGCAGCAGCAGCAACTGGAAACAGCAAGCAATGGCAACCCCAGGCACACTGCCAGGACACACTAATTCTGTGATAAAGTTTCCTGTCCCTATTTTTTTTACATTAGGCAATATATATATATATATATATATACATATATATATAGTCCCTGCTGTGGTACTTCTCCCTGCATCCTTTCACAACACGAATAGCTGCAAGTTTCCTCCAGCAGCTACAGAACTCCCATGCAGCTCTACAATGACCCACTTTCTGTCCTCCCTCAGGCTGGTTTAGGTTTATTTCCTCCACCTTTGATTTTGGAGCTCTGGGAGAAAGTTGTTAAATATTTTCACCCTGTTTTTTCTCCTGCAAAAGCTGGCCTTCCTGTATGAAAAAGGATGCATGGGCATATGCATGTATGAGAAAGAAGTATCACTGCAAGTGCTAGATTTTTTTAAAAAGGGTAAATTCCTCACACCAGGAAGCCACAATCAGTCTGCCCTCACAAGCCTTGAAGCAGAAGAATATGCCACAGGTGTGGTGGCAAAGTGTAGCAAGGCCAACCTCCATCTGGTCCTGGCACAATGTGTACCACATCCAATGCCCTCTTTCCACAGCCCAAATGATAGAAGGGTAGAGCTCAGCGACAACTGGCTTAAGTTTTCAAACAGTTTTTGTTTCCATAATTAAAATATAAGGAATGTTTTTCTACCTCAGCAAGGGGGTTGTCTTGATGCAGGCTCAATTAAAAAATCAAACCCACCACTCAGTAAAGGAAATAAAAACCAGATTTTCTGTTTTCTTTTGTCTGTCCTCAGGTATAGCCTTCTCTGTGACAACCAGGAACAGCAGGTCAACTCCATGTACCTTGGAACAAGAAGCAGATCCAAGAGGACTCTTCCCTACAGTCAAACATAACCTGCAGTCATAGCCAGAAACTGTCTGACACACAGTGATCCAAACTGTTAGTCAGAAACGTGACTCAGTGTTGGAGACTCCCTCAAAAAAGCCTTGCAGGGAAGGGCTCAGCTGTCCCTTTAGGAAAAAGAAAAGAAGGGAAGGAGACAGAGCATTTCTCTTTCACCAGTGATCCAAAGTTTGCTTCCAGCCCATAATGAAATCCTATCTTGACAGATCTGTGGACCTTAGCACCGTAAGCGTCAATGAAATGGCATGATGAAGAGTAACCACCAGTGTAAGCGAAGTTACCTTTTAACAGCACCATGCAAACTGACAGCCATACAGACAAGTTTCTGACCTAGAAAACTCGCGACCTGGGTTGACAGGATGCAACAGGTGAATGACACAGAGAACTTCAAGTTGAGCAGAGAGGAAAGCTAACAATTTACCACAAAGCAAGTAAACATCTCCTGACAGCACCTCCGGAGACAGCAGACAGAAACCCGAGCTCTTCAGATGCACAACAGCCACGAGAAACTGACAAAGCTCCCCAGACGCCTCCGACTCCCTTAGCAAAGGGGGTCTCTCCGACAACACGACCGCGCATCCCGGCCGGCGCTGGGCTCCGGACCCAAGCCGAGAGTGACCCCTGACCTCCCGTCCACCGGGCCCCGCCGTCACCCCGGCCCGCACCCCGCCAGGCCCCGGGNGCTCTCGGCCGCCCCGCGGTGGGCCAGGGCCACCCCGCGGGCCAGGGCTGCGGGTGGCTCCTTGGGGAAGGGAAGCGCCGCGCCGGAACTCGTCTCCAAGTATTTTCGTTCCTTAGCTCCTTCCCACTGCAGCAAGGAGAAGAAAGGCCCGAGCGCAGGCTCTGTGCTGAGTCTGGCCGCGGGGCACGGGTCGGCCGCGTCTCAGCGCTGCCCTTGCAGCGGGTGCGAAAGCAAATCCAACCAGAGTTGTGAGACTCTTCGTGCCACCACTCTGAAGTCCAGGGAACTAAACAGCAATGTGTGTTGTAGCTGGTATTTGTCTCTTACTCGAGTTTGTGAGATTTTTTTTTTTCCTGTTACACTAGCTCACAAGAATGCAGCCCGTGTTTGCCCTGCCCTCCCCAGTATACTTGAGGTACAATTTCACCAGAGCCTGTAAATATAAGTAGTAGTTACTAGGCAGCAATGACCCTCTCATTTCCTTTCCCCTGTAAAGTATTGACAGCTTCCGTTGCCCAAAGCCATTCATTCCCCTCTCTCATTAGGATGTTCTCACACTTTATGATAGTTCTTGAGAAACTGGTAGGCTTCTTTTAGAAAAATCACAGAGCCCTCGTGGAACCGTGTACTAAGCACAGGTGAATTTATAAAATATAGAAAAAAGTAAGGAAATCAAAAATCCTCCTAAGTACCCCGGTTAATAATCAACTGGTATTGAGTCAATTGAAACATGAACAGGTCTCCAGACAGGAGTCTGGTTCAGATGGACAGCAGGCAGCCAAGGCCCCTTGTCCCATTACAGGCTCTGTACCACTTCATTTATTTTATCTGAGCTTAATTAACCTGATTGAACTGATGGGGAAAACTAAGAATCCCTATACACTTTTCCTTGTTTCTCCCCTTCCAGGGCTTCCCTGTAAGAAACCATCTTGTCACAGGTCAGATTAAATTCCTTCTTTGACATTTACTTCATCAACAAAACTTCCAGCATTGGCTCAAACACAGATCCTTTAACTATCCTCAGCAGTTCCTTTCCAAACATACTTCACTCTTTTATATATACTTCACAGCTTCTGTGAGTTGAAACTGTTTTCCTTCTCTCACTTGAGAAAGAAAAACAAACCAAGACATGGGCAAACAAAAGCTGTTCTGCTAACCAAGTCTGAACCCTTGCTCAAGTTGAGCAACCTTCCTTGTAAGAAGTGTTGCCTCTGGGTGACACCATATGACCGTCTGTCACCTGACCCAGCGACAATCTGGAGCCTGGGAAAAGGTGCTGAAGAAAGCATGTACACTCAGGGTTTAATTGCTTGGGGTTTTAATGATACTTCTAGAATTAGGTCCTTATCTTTTAAAATATTTCCTTTTTATTTCTTCAGAGCTTACCAAGGATAAAAGCAAACATGTCTAGTACAGGGTCAGATTTTTCAAGCCACAGTTAAGAGGTAAAAATGGGCAGACATTGATGTCAGAGAAAAGACCAGTTGGGTTTTTTTTCTTGTGACTGTAAAGTTTCTGAGGTACACTTCACATGAGAGAGATTATACAGAGTATATATATTTTATGTTTCTCTCCTAACATTTAAAAAAAAAAAAATTACTATCTTTGCATTGTATTTCATTCTTCAGGTTTTTTGTTCTTGTTTTGGATCAAACATGCTGTTTCCTGGGACATTCTTTTATAATTTCCTGTTGTTCCTCTTGTTTTATAACTGGTTTCTCTCCAGTTTCCCCCTAACTGTTTTCAGTACACAGACACCAGAATACTAAAGTTTTGCCATTTTGACCTTCTGAACATTGCTGTATTTTTCTAATTTCTCCTTTTTTCTGGCTCAGATCTCTATCTTCTGAGATCTGGAACGGTCAAGTCTTGGCCCAAGACTTAAAAAAAGACTTAAAAATTAATCCCAAGAGCCCACAATGATCACATAAAATCCCAGCCCTCCCTGTTTTTGTTTACTCTCCTGTTAGTCAAATCACTCTTGTCTTTGTTTCTCAGATGGAAAAACTGAGGCCTGAAGAAGCCATTTCTTTTCCTGAGCAGAGTCAGTCATTCCTAGAACTTAGAACAGAATGCAGGAATTTGCTTCAGTCCTGCTCTGAAAATACAGTGTATTTCCTATCTTTGCCCGTAGTTTTCTGCATCTTTGTCTTCCTCTTCTCTGACTCTTCCTCAGACTCAGACCCCTTTCTATATTTAACCTCTGCACAATGCACCTGGGTATCCCACTGATCCAGATCAGACAGCTGCAGCATTAGACAGCAGATTGTCTTTGTGTGTGTCCTTACAGTTTTGTCCAGGCCAGCACCAGCAGGCTTGGTCCCTTCGACTCCTGTTCCGCTGTTGTTCGTGAGCCACTGCAGGGCACTTGGCAGTGTTCCCGGGCGAGTGTATCGTCCTGTGCCTGAGCATCACCGCTTCCAGGAGCAGTACTAATGGTGCACTGTCCCTGTCCTGGCAGATCTTCATCCGCAGCACGGACTGTGATCGGACACTGATGAGTGCAGAGGCCAATCTGGCAGGCCTCTATCCGCCAGGAGGACAAGAGATGTTCAACCCTAACATCTCCTGGCAGCCTATCCCTGTGCACACAGTGCCTGAATCTGATGAAAGGGTAAGTTCATCTCAAAGACATGTATTGACTACTCAGGTAGTGTAGTGTACAAAAATATTTGCTACAGTCTTGATTCAGACTGTCTTGAACTTCTCCTTTGCAGAGGTTTTACTGTTTCCAGAAAAAAATGAGAGAATTCAGGGATTGGATTCACTCAACACGTCAGGTGCAACCAACACCTGAGCAGTCCACACATGGACTTGCTGTTAGTACTTGGGGCTGTTTATAGATGCAGTCAGGGTTTCATTACAGCTGTGCATGTTTGCTGCAAATTCTGTACTCTAGCATTCTTGGGTGACCTGGCTGCTCTTGTCTCTTCCCAGCTACTGAAGTTCCCTTTGACCCCTTGTCCACGGTATGAACAGCTACAGACTGAAACACGACACTCAGCAGAATACATAAATAAGACCAAAGAGAATTGGGTAAGTGATTGTTTGCATGAGATAAAGTGGTTCTAAGCTTGTAGTTACCACCTCCATATAATCAGAGCTCGAGAAAAGGGAAGGGATACCAGTGCATATAATACACTGTGAGACTAGGACCTTTCTCTTTTCTCCAACCTACAGCAATTCCTGCAGATGGTGGCAAAGGAGACTGGGATCCGGGATGTCTCTCTTGAGAGTATATGGAGTGTGTATGATACACTGTTCTGTGAAGTAAGTCTTGCCATCATTGTACACCCACTGGAATCTAGTCTTCAGGATTCACTAGATTTGGTAGAAATTATTGTACAAAATCCCATGAAACAACCTTTCACCCTACAATTAGAAGTAATGTTCTGATTTCAGAATAATAACAGTTCTTACTCACTGGAGGCACATGCCAAGAATTACCTATTTTTGCACCCTATAACCTCTCACTATGTAGCTCAGATGTATATCATGTCAGAGTCAGAAAAAGTCCCACCTACATAATAAGTATCTCTTGAAAGTCACTAGAAGATTACTGCAATCTGAAATCTTTAGATCGCTGTGGACAAGCCTAAATCCAATAGGGTAGAAATGAGATCTCTGCAAACTGAAGAAACATTAACTTTATGATTTAAGTTGGGACCTTAATTAGGACTATTCCTGGTGCTACCTCTACCTCTCTGTTCCTTTAAATCAATCACTTTTCTTTCTGTGCTTCTGTTAATACCATATCTAACAGAAAATAATGCTATCCTAAGTTAAGTGGGGTTCACTCACTTCTGTTTTTGACCTATTTTAAGGTCCTTTGTCAGAGAAAGACTCTAGATACAAATGCCCCTTTACCATTTGGGATGGGGACACCAAACTCTGTATTTGAGTTGATTTCTATTGAAAGCATATCTCATGAAGACTTAAACAAAATCATAAATTTGGCTCACTGTGCTAATTGCTAAACTAAAGGTCACAAATGCAGGAGACCTAAAGTTGTTACATACAGGTTCCTTGGTGTATAACTGTACAGCGTGATGAAGTAAATTAAGGACATCTTTCATGTCAAACTAGTGAATTATTTAATTATGGACAAAGTAAACCAAAGCATTTTGACACTGATTCTATGAATGTACAAGACTGCTTTGCTCACTGGCAGTGATATACAGGGGTGTGCACTATTTTGGGGGTTAACAGATATATCAGCAGGGAATTGCACTTTGCTATGTAAAGCAGCAGCTTGGATTGCAGCAAACTGAAAATATTCCAGTCCAGAGCTGCATTGTACTATGTGAATTTGCCCTTTGTATCACAATCCTGATTTCCTGTCTTGTAACAATCACAGTGAATCAACTTCTATTGGTAACAAAATATCCTTTGGTCAGACAGGTCAAGAATTTCAGATCTTCATTTTCAGGAGTCACTTAATGAGCTTGCAGGTTGGGCCTGGAAGGCCAGCTGACAACCACTGTAATCCCCAAGAATTTGGAGAACAGCCCACAGTCCCAAAGCAAAACCAGAATGTTATTAAGGAAGAAGTATTTCTCACTCAGAACTGTACCCTCGGGCTGATTGGTCTCTTCAGCTCCTTTGGTCTTCCTTCTTTTTAATAAGTCATGCAAAAAGTGCCCTGAAGAGGATTGTTTTTCTCACCTGAGCCAGTAGAGTCATTCTGCTATCTGGATGAAGACAAAAAAAATCCAAGAAATAGCTGAACTTACTGGCTATTCTCTTTGTAAATTAATGAAGAACTAAATATCTAAGCTGCTGATGGAATTTCTCTGAACCACTCAGACAAAATGGGCCCTTAAGGATATTTAGCCTCAACTTCTGGAAGTCTAATGGGATGTGGCAAAGAAAATTTTTCTCAGTAATGCTGGGAAACCACAACTGCTGTTTGTCTGCCATTATAACTAATCCTTTCATGTAATGGGTTGGCTGCAAAGCAAGTACTTCTCTTGATTCCCAGTTCTTGGGCTCCTGGGTTTGAATACAGGGCTTTGTCAGTGGTGCATCCCACTGTTATGTCCACAGAGCACTCACTAACTTTGTCCAGTATCTTTCAGTGACCCTCAGAGCCTCCAGAGAAGCAGGTGCAGGTATACCAGAAACCCTGAGTTTGTGTTCCCTCTCTTATCTGTTTTTTTTCCTTTGACCTCATGTCATCTGCAGGGCAGAATCAGCCACATGTAAAGTCAATGCCCTAAAATTATTGTATCAATTACAACATAGCCTTGCATTCCAGCTGCACTTTCACAGAAATGTAGCTCCTAGGTTGCAATCTTTATTCTTCTCATTACTATTTCTGAAACAACATCAAAACCCACATATATTATTTGTATGCAGCATAGCAGTGTGAGGTCAGAAGCACAAATAGGAAAGAGGCATATTGTATATTTAAAATAGTGTAGGAAAGCAGCAGCAGTATAGGCAGGTCTCCACACTCTCCCCTTCTCTGTTTAATCTATGACCTGTGCTACCTGCACATGAATGTTCTGTTTCTTTCTAGCAAGCACACAAAATGGATTTGCCTGGATGGGTGACTCCAGATGTCATGACTCAGTTGAAGGAACTAAAAGACTTTGGTTTTGAATTTCTGTTTGGGATCCACAATCGGGTAGAAAAAGCCCGTCTGCAAGGTGGTGAGTGCACCAGGGAAGGAGCCTCGTGCTGCTCTGTCTGGCTTTTGCCTCTTACCAGCTGTTTCCTTTCCTCAGGGGTCCTGCTGGATCACATAAGGAAAAATCTAACCAAAGCAGCAAATGTTACTGCCCATCAGAACCTAAAATTACTTGCCTATTCAGCGGTAAGTTAGAGCTGGAGCTGGCTTTTAGCCATCTCCTCCTGCTTACAGGGGGTTGGGCTTGGTGATAGTTTTAACCCTTTCTAGCTTCCCTACAGCCCATGCAGTGATCAGGACATGCATCTTTGCCTCTGACTAGGTGGGAGATGCAGTATCTGGCATTGTTCCTGTGGGATCCCTGAGGAAAATTCCAATGTGTCCTTGTTCCTGTTAGCTCAGGTTCATGAAGGAGACTGGCAGACTTTGGGGAGCTACTGCTCTGTGTATTTGCTAGATGAGTTGATGATAGTCAAATGTGATGTTTCAGAAGTGTGGATGCAGTTGTCTGCCCTTTCCAGCACTGCCTGGAAAGTCAAGCATCTCTTCCAAATTGCTCTCTAGAGATTAATTCTTGAAACACAGTGCAGGACATATACATGGCTGTTTCACTTCCTCCCCTTGTGTGGCACCATTGCAGACCACTGTTCTAGCAGTACAGTTCCTCTCTCATTTTCCAGATGGAACTTACAAAGGTGATGTCCCCTCAGCACTGCCTTGTCCATTACTGAGCTGCCCTGCCACATCCCTAAGGGTGACTGATTTGGTTTTTTTCCCTCTTTCTCAGCATGACACCACACTTGTGGCACTGCAGATGGCTCTAGATGTCTACAACGAGATCCAAGCACCATACGCCTCATGTCATTTATTTGAACTGTACCAAGAGGATGATGGGTGAGGGCTGCAGTAAAGACATCTGCTGTGATTTCACTTCGACAGTTAGATACCTAGGCTAGGCTCCTCCACTCTTGGGGCGTGCAATCTTGCTCCTAGATGCAGACTCTCATGAGAAAATCTAATCACCAGAATAAAGAATAGGGTGTGCACACTGAGTTTTTGGGAAGGGATGACTTCAACTAGAGAAAAAAAAAAAACATCCTGCTATGTTTCATTTTCAGTAACTTCTCCGTGGAGATGTTTTACCGGAATGAGAGTGGAAAGGAACCCTTCCCACTGACAATCCCTGGCTGTCAGCATAAATGCCCATTGCAAAGATTCTTGGAACTCACAGATCCTGTTGTTCCCCAGGACTGGGAGCAAGAATGCAAGGTATCAAGCAGCATGCACGACACAGGTGAGCCCAGGCTTGAGCAGAGTGTGGCAGAAGGGGAAAGTCTGGATGGTACCGTGCTGACCACTTATTTTCTCCCTTACAGAACTCTTTGTGGGTTTGGCTGTGTGTGGATCCATTCTCCTTCTCCTCATTATTCTCCTCTTGACTGTACTCTTTCGCATACAGTCCCAGCCCCCTGGCTACCGGCACGTTTCCAACGAAGGAGAAGAGCAGGCCTGACAGTTGCTTCAACTCCTTCCCAGGCAGTAGGAGGGAGCTGTGATGCCCCTTAGGATGATTGGGCACCTTCAGCTAATCAGCATTTTTCTATTTTGGCCTTTGCTTGCCAGAACAAAGCTGGACTTGATTTCTGGATGTTTTCTAAAGGTGACCTTCTTTAGAAAGAACTGAGTAAAAGAACTGAGCTACTCTAAGGAAACGACACCTTAACTTTGAAGCCAATACACTGTGTGGTGCCCCGGTCCTCATACACCTTACCCAGTCTGGGATTCCCAACATGGCCAGTTTCAAGTTTTCCTGCTTTCAAGTGACTGTAAACATCACCACTCACCATGACTGTGGCAGAGAAGCTTGGACCTCCAGCAGCTGCCACATCCAGTTGTTTCTCTTCAGAATCAACCTACTTTGAGTGCATGTCCCTCACACCATAGGGCTGCTGATGGTGGAAAGGCTGGGCTCGAGCTGAGGGTGCAGCTCACCAGCAGTGCACTAAGACTCATCTGCTGTCCATGCAGAGGGAACTGCTGCAGATGGTGGGAAACATGTAAAGTGTTTCTTGAGGTTGCTGTCAAGTAGTTTAGTTGTTGCTGGCAACTGGTGTTTTTTCTCCTCTTCACACTGTGGTTCAAGGGAGGACTATTGAAATCAGGACAAGACTGAAAACCTAGCAGTTTTCAATCAATCCTAGGATTTGGCTCAGAGTAGAATCAGAGTAGAACCCAAAGAAGCTCTAAGACCTTCATGAAAGAGCAGTTCCTGTGACTGAAGTAATTGTTGTGCAATGTTTGCTCTAGAAAAGAAGGTCCCCCTAGATAAGAAACTTGGTTTCTGTCTAATGATCCTAAGTTTAAATTTTACTTCCCACATCTGAACTTCAAGGACCTATTAAAGGGTGTATCCAGTACTCCAGGCAGTCCAGATTTCAGCCCAAGGAATATACTTTATTAGCAGAATGTTTTTATGCTGTAATTAAGAGATGTAGCAGAGCTGTTGACCCAAGACTTAGATTAAGTGCCAAGTTCTATAGTTTTTCTTCTTATCTTCCCTACTGGATGGACAACAAACAAACATTAAGGATCAGAGTTGGCAGGTGACTGTGGACTCCTTTATTTGTCACACTTGAGCATTTTGTCCAAAGTGTGATTCTTTCTCCAGCGTCTCTGCGCACTGCAGCTGCTGCAGAGACCAGTGTTCACCACCTGCCTTCTAGTTTTTGGCAGAAAATGAGAGACTGCAGCAGGCACCAGAAGCACAGGCTCTTCACATGGTGATACTGCACATTCACTTCCTACTTTTACTTCCTTTTCTGATGCAGTTCCCTTCCCCTCTTGGATGCAGAAGCCAGTTTCTTAGGTTACAAACATTTCCTTTTGTTTCCCCTAAGGAGTACCATGGGGACTTTTCTCCACACCGTAATCAGCATCTGCCAGCATGGGAACCCTAAATCAGCAGAAGCAGCTTGCTGTTCTCAGCATCTTCCTCACCTTTTTGTCCTCTGAAGATACATACTAGGTCTCCTACAGAGCAAGATAGTCATAAAGAAAAAACTACTGCCTGTGAGAATAGGCACAAGAAAGAGGTAATAGAAAGTGCATTTAAGAGGACCTGTTATTTTTAAAGGCACCAAATTTTGCATACACACAGAAAAGGTTTCTATGATGATTTAGACATTTTGACTGTGAATGACTTTCTGTACTTGTTCCAATACATTTCATTATTAAAATCAATTTCGCACTGAACTCTACTCTTCTTCTCTAAGAGTTCACAGGGTTAGCACCGGTGTGCTCAGTGTTGGAAAGCAGGCAGAATTTACTGCAGCATACCCCCCCTAAAGGAATTCCCTGTTTGACAATCCCACACATAGCACAGGGAGATTTGACATAAACTGGTTTTGACTGCAGCAGCTATGCATAGATACAGCTGACGATGCATCCTGTCCAGCTTGGAGGGGGTCCACTGCAGACCCAGTACTATGACTGGTACTTCTACCACAGTTGTACGTCTCATAGCCCTCCTGTAGAAAGGTCTCAAACTTCTCCCCTACAAAAGCAGTTCAGTATCCTCAAAGCATCCACTCTGTCAAAGAATTTTAGTTTAGTACAAAATTTTATTGATATTAATATTGCAAAACTATAAACATGAATGTGGAGAATCTGCACAGGCCTGGAACCCATGCCATCAACCTCTGGGACAGCAGCAAGGTCCCAGGCAGCCTTGTAAACAAAGTAGAAAAAGCAAAACTTAACCCTTTAACAACAGTCTTGAGATTTGGCTCTGAGCAGGGGTATTTGGAAGAAATCCCTCATTCCTGCTTTATAACACTCTTACCAAACATTCTGAAGCACATAGGCATGGGTGAAAAAAATTACCTATCATTGGCAAGAAACAGCCTAGAACTCTGAAAATGGAAACTAGAGAATCAGCAGGTGCCCAGCTCCACACTGTCCTTGCAATCAATGACAGAGACCTCTGGCATCCTGTTCTTTGTGGTCTAGTTAAACAGCTGCAAGCAGAGAACAGGCTAAGACTGATGTCTTGACAAACACATTTTCCAAGCTTGCATGTGAGAGCTTGGTGTTTCCTAGGATACCCAAGCTATCCATGACTTCAACCCTGTGAACATTCTATCTTTTCAGGATGTCAATCCTGTTAGCAAATGGTTTCTTAACTGGGTTGGACCAGAACAGGCTGAGGACCCTGTCATGAGCTGCTCCACTGCAGACTACAGGAAATGGGAACCTCTGACAAGTGATGACAAATAGATATGGTAGGCTGAAAGCAGTAAATTCAGCAAGATCTGGGAACATCTTTTAAGTTTTCCTAGTGCCTCAGAAAATGAGTAGTAACTCCACTTAGAGGAACCAAGTACTGACACAACTTTCTAGAAAAGGAGGCCAAGAGTATCAGGGAAGCAACATCAGATCCAGGGAGGAAGGACAAAGTCTAATTCCCTGCACGGCTTATACTGCCCATTGCCAACAACTGAGTTTCTACCCTGGGATTCAGAAAGGATCAAAATACTAAATCAGTTCCCTAGATCAGTCTCTTTTCACTTCCTTCCCTGCAGTTTAGAATCACTGCTTTTCATTTTCATCTCCTCTAGCTCCCCAGACATTAAGTTAGCTTTTGAGTTTGCTTGTGCCAGGGTTTGCCTGCCTCTGCCCTCCACGTCTGGATGAACTCCAGCTTCCAATCCCCTGTTCTGTCATGGTTCAATCTCCTCGTTTCTCATGGCTTTCAAAAGATGTTCATGCTTCTTGACTGCCATCTCCTCCTGGTTCCAAATCAGAATATTAAAGCCTGAGAAGAAAAATTAAATGCTGTGTATCAGAAACTCTACATCAATCATAATACCTTAGCCTATGTCACTTAAATGCCAGAAATTCAGAAAACTTTTTCTAAGGTATTTCCAAGGTATAGAGGATGCAAAAATAATTATTGCAGATGCTGTATCCACATAGCTGTGGAAATCTAACTAAGAAATATAAGTAATTCCTAGTCTCATCTGTCACAGGTCTAAGACCTAAATCTATAGCCAGCTAACTTAATCCCACACAGCCTGCAAAAAACTGACTAAACTTGGCTCTGTAGCCTAGGAAATGAGATAAATTAAACAAAGGGAAACAGTACAGCCTAGGAGGAAAAGGCTTTCCCCCCTCCATTGTTTTCTTCTACTGCTTCATGGATGGCATGGAACAACAAGCCAGCCCTTTTCTGGGACTAGAACCCACACGTTTAGTGCCCCGGGTTCTCTTCACTTACCCATGCCAGAAGCCAGTGTGTCTCCCATAGGGTTAAACTTATTGAGCTGAAAATGAAAACACAGAGTCTGTAAGAGCACCATTGCTTATGTAACAGTCATAAGAGCAACACAGCTTATATAACAGCAACAAACCATCTGGAAAAACCAGTGTTCCCTAAGAGTATCACAAAAACCCCACAAAGAACCATGGACTAGCCCTGCTTGAGTCAGCAGTTTTAGCTGACAGCCATATCCCAAGACTGGGAGTCTGTCACAAGTAAACTGGGTATGGTTCTAGTCCCTAAACCATGCCTCTCTCCCAGAGACATAGCAGTGTTATTGACAGCTCTTTCAGCTGCAGCACTCAACTCACCGAGATGATCCCAGAAGCATTTGGATCGTAGAGCTGACAAACCATCTCGCCGGTGTTTCCATCAAACACATCCACAGTTCGCAGCTCGTTCAGCGTGTACCCAGGGAACTTGGGGTCGGGGTAGCGACCTACCACAATGAGGTCATAGCGAGGATGCCACGTTGCCTGATCAGAAAACAGAGTCATGGAGACCTTAGAGAAAGGGACAGAGCTCAGCACTGACACAATCCAGACAACTGACACTGGGAGCAACTCTTACTGTATCTCACCCACAGCTTGAAGAAGAGTGCTCCACTGGGAGTTGCAGCAGTGTAAATATTCACCCACCAGTGTAGTATCTTGACCAGAAATCAGACCATTTCTGATTTGCAGATGGCTAATAGCACCACACATGATGCTCCTCTTAGACTTAACTCACCTTAATAGGTGTGAGGTGCTGAAACTGCCTATGTGGATGTGGAATCAGATGCTGTGGCTTGGTCCAGTCTGAAGATGAATAAACCCTGATTTCATTGTGCTGGTCTGTGCTCAGAAGCTTGGCACCATGTGTTGGGCTGAAGTAAGCTAGGAAAGTGGGACATTAAGGCAAACTAAAGATCACAATGCTGTAACTTACAAGAAACGTGTCACATTTCAGTGATTGAAAACCCATCACTATTTCTTTAATTGGGATGTGAATATGGCTGTGTGTCCCAACCGATAAAACTTTGACAAGACAGACTACCTGTCTCAAACAAACTCAAAATTCCTACGAAAGTAAGCTGAAACTTACTGTGCTGGGTTACCTAAGAATAATCTTTTTTCTCATTTCAGAATCACAAGAGGAAAGAAAGGAACTTGTTCATTCAAACAGAAAGACAGTGGAACAATGAGATGGACACCTGCAGTTTAAACTTCCATCAACTGGGAAAGTTGCACCCTAGAAACAGAGGTTTGAGTTCCATTCTCTGCTCTTGTTAAAGGGATTGCCCCAATAAATTCAGTTTTCTAATCTCAGCCATTGCTAATTTCAAACTCACTTCTATGGTACAGTGTCACAGTTTGTATGGCAAGTCTTAATAAGGTGCTGCAGCTGCCCTAGCCTGCTGCATCTCCCTGCCTCTGGCCACACATTCCCAGTAGCTTCCTTGCTTTAATCACAATGCAACTTGGAATGTGAGCAAAACCTAGCACTGTCACCACAATAAAAGCTGAACTGAGTGGACTCTGCAGATATCTATGCAATGAAATCCTTAACTCACCTGCATTGACCGGTTTCTCATGTGGAAGCAGATGAAGAAAGTTCGTTTTGTTTTTGATGTTTCTGAGGTCCCAGATTTTGACTGTCTGATCCACAGATGCTGTGGCAAACATCCACTCACATCGGGAGTTAAACTCTACATGAGTCACTTTCTTCTTGTGCAATTTCAGCTTCCAGATCTGAAGCAAACAGAAAATCATGTAGAAAAAAAATAATCAAGATCTGGAGTAAAGGAATGAAATTAAAATCTACTAGTGGCAAGTAAAGAGATCTCACATTTATAGAGTAACAAATATTCTAAAATACACCAATAGTGTACTCACTGGAAACAAGAAAGGAAAAGATGACCTTGGGAAATAACTACTTCATTCTAGAAAAGCTCTGATCTATCAATTTATTACAGCTATGAGAAAACACAACTGTGAGCCTTCATGGAGGGAAGTATTAGTGCCACTGTACAAAGCAAGATCACATCTGGAAGACTTAAAGCAGTGCCAGCCTTTCACTTGCAGAAAGATTTAAACAAACTGGAACACACAGAGAAAACCTGCTGCCAAGATAACAAGGAAGGAAGGAAGGAACTGCTTTGTGTGGAGAACAAAAAAAACCTTGCTTTAAGTAAAAAAGATGAGAGGATATAATTGGCTTTTAGACACATGTGAAGAAATAAACATGAGGGTAGGATAAATATTTCAATTAACAACAACAAATAAACACAAAGTAGCCATGAATAAATTTCTATACAAGGCCAGAAAGTTATCTCTAATCTAAAGGTGGAAGCTGGCCCATCCTCCCTAGAATAACAGATATCTCCCAAGATAAAGGGAGAAAAGACTGTCACATTCTTTCAGGGGGAAAAAAAATAAAAGTCAGCAACTAATGCTGAATAAGGACAAGTCACTTGGAGCACTCCTGACTCTGTCCACTACTTTACACAGCTGCCTCTGGCCACTGCACATTTGATGGCAAACGTTTACAGATATTACCCTTACACACAGGAGAGAGGGCAGTACCAGTGTGACAATACTCTTTCGGTACTACTCCAGACTCACATTCTGCCTTTGCCTGCCCTCTCGTGTCCAACGGCAGGAGTGCAATTTCCATCCCAACAGTCACTGCATTACTGCTCCGTGCCTATCCCAGGTCACAGAAGGGTGTACAGCAAAGCAGTACCTCCTAAATGACTCTCATCAGGACACGAAGTTTCTGGACGTGTGAAGGTTGTTGGCAGAGGGTGCTCACATCTTCAGGTTACCCTATAATAATTCTGGCTAACAGCAAATACTCTCAAGGAAGGGGTAGTAAGTACATGACAGTACATTTCCTTGTTTAGAAATTATTACCATTATACTTAACAATGTAAAATGTCTACTGGGTAACAGAAGTGGGAGATTTCTCACTACCCAGACAATGAGTGAACTCATCTCCTGAGCTGCAAGTCACTTGCCCCCCTTTCCAGGGTCCCTGTAGAGTAGGAAAGCACATGAGCCATGAAGATTCCTGTAGAGGAGATGCTGCATGGAGCCATACAAACCTCTTCACCGGAAGTGCTGAGCAGGACCACGTTGCCCACATTATCACCTGTCACCACAGCACGGCAACTTGCAGAAACATCCACACTGCAGTACCAGCAACTAGAGGGAAAGACACAAATCAGTGCTGTTCCTATAGAAAAGTGAAGGCAGTGGAGTTCTGGTTCACATCTCCTCCCTGACAAGGGAGACTGCAACAAATTTTAACTGCAATCTCCTGCCTGGTGGTGTGGGCCTGAGTATTAGGAAGAAGAACAGCTTATCAGCAATTCTTTGTGTTGGTAACTGAATGCGAAACAACTTCAAAGTCATACTGAAGGGCTTATTGGGTGGAGTGTAGCACATTGCAATAGCATAACATAACTGAGGCTGAAGAACCACTTGGCACCTGCACATGAAAATACCTTGGGAAAGATCAGAACATTCTTGGGACTTCAACAAATGTGAAGAAACAGCTTTAAAATTACATTTTCCACAAAACACTGAAGCAGCAGTAAAGACAGAAGCTTTGGACTGAAAAGCTGCACATCAAACTGTCTCAACTTCATGCTCCAGAAAACAAAACTGAATAGAAACTTATCTGATAAAGACATATGTGTTAAGGCCATCTCTCCTGGGAGAAGATGGGGTCCTTTGGGAACTTGTTGCAAAAGCTTTGCTTGCAAGATAAATTATTCTAAGAATTCAATGCCATGGAAATTAACATGGTGAGCCTAAAGTCTGCCAAAGGGCGACAGGGTAAACTCAAGAAACTGAAATTCAGATTGTGCAGGAATGTTGTATGGCTTTCCTTACCCTACCTGAGCTGCCACTGATAAAACAGACTACTGACAACAATGAAGAGAAGGATGTTACCTTGCTCTTCTCACCTCACACTTCATAAAGTAAAAAGCCGTCAGTATCTGCAAGATAGGAGATGGCATCACCAGAAAGTAGCATGGGACGATGTGGGCAGCACGCTCAGCTAATGTAAAAGCCTAAGTGCCCTGTGGCTGCCTAGCAACCAGGACCCTGTCTCCAAGCTCCCCCATGGGACCAATCCATACCAAGAGTCTCCTAACACTAGCAGAGATAAAGAAGCAACACAGCATTAACCCCATGGAATAGAAAATTAACCTTGCCAAGCCCTCTTCTCACCAAACATTATGATGCTCATGGCCACAGTCCAGGGCATGAGAGATCACCTGCACCGCTCTGCCCTCAAGATCCTGCAGACTTAGGGTGCCATCACCTGATGCCACATAAAGCTTCTCTGCCTCATAAGGACTGAACTTGATGTCTCCAAGAGAATCTCCTGGCCCTTTCTGAAATACACACAAAGCCAAGAGACATCAAGGTTAGAGTAAAAGTGAAAAATCTTAATTTAAGAGTCACCTCCTGGTACACACTGTCAGTTTCTCTAGGTAAAAGCACTGCTTTCTGACAGAGCATATACACAAAAACTCTTTTTTTCTAACCTGTTTCAAATCCAAGCACATACATTCTGATACTTCAAACTTTGGGCTGCAAACCTCATTAGCAGCAAGCACTGTTGCTTCTGTTATGGAGGTAGGATTAATCTGCAGTGAACCACCTGGCTCAGACAATGCTTAGGAAATCACAAGCAACACCAGCACCATTCCATGCATAAACCACATAAAATCTCATGATAGCCCAGCACCAAGCTTTACTTACAGAGATCACATTGACTAGCTCCCTACAGGCTGCTTCCAGTGCTCTATCTGATCTTTCTCAAGGTACCAACAAGCAGGAAAAGCCAAGTGCAAATCTTACTGCTAAACCCAATTCATAGGAATCTTACGTTCTAAGTTATGTTGTAGTTATTATTATTACATTGTTTTCCCCCAGCCTTTCTACTAAGGAAAAGTGGAAACCCTACACAAAGAAAAAAGAGCTAACTGGGAGTCCCCAGACTCTTTGGTACTCAAATGCACTCCTGCTGCTGCTCACAGAACAACTACTTAGTAAAGTCTCACTGTAAATACTAGGTTTCAAGAGGCCGATGAAGATAAAAAAGGCCTGCCCATAGAGCCTGCCTGTCCTCACAGCAGGAGGATGGCATGCCCTTTCAAATCTAGGCATCACTGTTGTGACAGGCATCCCACTGGGATACAAGATCCTCATATCTCAGGACCCAGTTTACCTCTCCTTGCTCACCCCACTAGTCACCCCAGCACAACCTGGGTTCACCTTCTGCCCTGTTACAAAAAAAGGTGGCAGGTGAACAGCCAAATTAAAAAGTAACCATGCTGCACTCAAAAAGAATTAGGTGGGGAAAAGTAAAGTGAAAGCTAACTGAAATTCTCTCACTTACCTTCAAGCACAGAACTCAAGTAACTAATTGAAGAGCTCAGGCTTCCTCATGAGTCCACAGAAAAAAACAAGAGTCTTGAGAAGGTAATTCTACGAGCTGCTTCTAGCAATTCATCTCCTCTTTTCACTCACTACTGAAAGAACCCAGACTCTTAATTTTGGTATTTTAGATAAGCACCAGAAGCTTGGTGGGATGAATTGGCATGACCCTAATGGCAGGCACTGCTTGAAGTCAGTGGCATTTGTGAAGCATGGAGAGAACTATGAATTGTCCTGTAAAAACCATCTGAGAACAAGCAGCCCTGCTAGCAGGTGAAGAGGTTAGAAGGTCCCCAGGGCACAGAGCTTTGTGATGTGTTAAGAACAGACAACTAAGGAAATCCACTGGATCCCCACTCACTCATATACAACAGGAAGTTAGCAGCATCGGAGTCCCTCCCCATTAGTGAAAAGCTCTTTCCTACCCACTACCCCATTTCAAGGAAAAATAAAAAGAATGAGCCTCCCTGAAATTCAGAGGATAAAGAACATGTACATTGGGAAGAGGAAGCCCAGCTCTCACATATTAGAGACAAACATATCTCTCTCTGTTTCTCTTGCTCTCTGTAGTGCTTCTGCCAGCAGGACACAGAGGCCCAAAGCATTACTGTATTCTTACTCCCAGTCCTCGGTGCTGGTGAAGACCCGGACAGTATGGCCATTAAAATCCTGCAGGGTGGTAGTGCCGGCAACTGACGCAGTGTACAGCTGACTAGGGTTAAAAGGGTTAAACTTCATTGCTGTGATGGCCCCTCCAGCTCCCATCTACAAGGAAGGGGATGAACAAAAGAAAAATCCACTGAGTGATGGGGAAGGAGAAGTGTGTTCTGCAAGTCTGCAGGCACTGCTATGTATTTAATAGTAACAGTGAAACACACCACAGTCCTCTAAGCAGGAAAGACAACCATGTCTCCCACATGACAGCTGTCTAAACCAGGAGCTGCCCTCCTGGGGCAATTCCTTCAGTCCCCAGGCAAGGTACACCCTTGCTGTCTGGCACCAGCCTATTTACAGAAAGAGAAAGATGACTCTGGATTTCCAGAGGATAAACCTCTCAATGTGTTTCTATCTTAACTTAGAAAGGT